GTGTACTGTCTTGATTAGGGTCTCTGCAGTTTGGCTCAAACCTAGAAACCTCTATTGGTGTCCACTTGGGCCAAGGGAAATTCACCCATCTTTGTTGGGCCACACCATGGATTTGGCATTACTCCAATCTCTTCTCTCATTGTTTAAATAGGGAAATTGGGATGGTTGTGAGGGTTACCGACAATTCAATTCTAAGTTCTAATTGGGAATGAATACCTGCTCTAACTTTCTGGCAGGTAGTCACCTTTTTGTAAGATTTCACCTCATTGTAAGATTTGTTTGTTTGTTCTTATCCGAATTCACTTGTTTTCAAAGTGGATAGGGGGAGTGGGGAAGCATCCACACAACTCCTCATTAGGCCAATTCCATCTTTCTCTTCTCTATTCATGATTTTCTACTCATATTGTCTGAAGTATAATTGCTGCTCATTTTTGATCAAGGGTGGCTGAATATTTGGTACTTAGAATCGCTTTGTTCTTAGTTTTGGGGTCTGGTTGCCAATTCTGGGACACCAGGCAAAGCCTGAGTCACTTTTTGGAAATGCTTATAAAACACCTATTATGTGCTGGGCCTTGTGCTAGGGGCTAGAGTTCAAATGTGTATCAGTCAGGGTCCCTGCACCAAAGGAATAGCTATTATAGTTTTGTTAGGAAAATAAGAGATGCTAAAATTGTTCTAATGCAGGTGAAGGATGATTGAGCCCCTTGTAGAAGTCACAATGTGCTATGAGAGTTTGGCAGAAGGATTCCAAGTAGTGAAACCATGGAGAAGACAAGATTTGATTTGGGAGATGAAATGAGTAGGTCCCTCATGAATCATTTTCCTCTTCGGCTCATAGGATGCTTGTGTTAGAAGGGCTGTTTCAGATCATTTAATCTCATTCATTTGGGAAATGAGGAGACAGCTCAGAAAATAGTTTCTCTTCCATGATAGTACAGTTAGCATTTGAGCCAAAACTTACTAGGATCTTGACTCGCAGGCCTGGGCTCCTTCTTCTGCATGGTGTGGTCCCCCAAATGTAGCAACACATCCAAGTTCCAAGGTCACTTCTAAACAAAGTACTGGCCATCCTGACCTTGATTAGCTTTCCAGGTCAGATGAGATCAAAGAAATGAGATCTATGTGTGTACCTGAATTTTATTTAAGGACATGTAACCCTTACTTGCTCTTGATGACTTGTCAGAAATAATCAGTCACAGCTCAGTAACTCCCTCTACCAGCTCTTTAAAAGTCTACGAATAAATATGTTCAGTGCCAACCTCCATGTTTACTATACATGGCTTTCATTTCCCACATTTTCTATCAACATGCCCAATATGCTTTGGGCTATTAATGCTTTCTCCTCTTTAATGTGTTCATTATAATTATGCATAAACATTGATGAAAAGTAGCAAAATTTTAAGACAGTACTTCTGCAATGTTATTACTTAACCTTTGCAGAGTGCCTCTGTATTTGCAGAGCACTTATATGCTAATTAACTCTTTTTCACCAGCCCTCTTGGAAGGGTGCCACACTATTTATTTCTAGGCTTTAAGGAATAGACTTTGATAAAAATGACCCTGTAGGACTAGAAGGAACTTGAAGAGATCACAGAAGTATGTGCCTTGCTCTTAGAAAAGCCTGCTTTGAAACTGTTCTGAACTCCCTCCCACCTTCTGATGTTCATTTCTCTCTTCATATTCTCTTCTCCTAAATTCTCTAGGAGCTACTAGTGCCAACTGCTGCCTGTAATCCCTCTTTTTAGGTAGAAATTTGAAGTATGAGCACCTTGCATTTTAATTTTGGCTTCTCAAATCCATCCATTGGAAGTCAGCATCTCCAAAAGGCCATGTTATGAGCCAAGTGGAAAATCATCATGACCTCAGTTCAACAGAGGTCTTAAGCATTGGGTTCTATTAATCCACTTTATGGTATTTTAGATAAAAAACATCATAGAAAACAAATGGGAAGAAAAAAGGAACTTACATTTATGGCTTACCAGTTATGGGCATTCATTTTCTAGACACTTAATACACTTGAATTCCTTTAGTCAACATGACAGCCAAACAAGATAGATATTTGTATCCCTATTTTTAGAAGTGAAAATACTAAAGTTCAAAGACATTCAGTAACTCACCCCAGGCCTGAAGTGATAAACTATAATTTAAAGCAGGATTGGGTTGGCTCCCTCCCAAACTAGGGCTCTTTGTGTTACAGCACTCCTAGGGTTCCTAGGAGCTGTGATAGCACCTTGGGATTGGAAGCTGTAGAGAACCTTTCATGGTTGCCTTCCCAGGATTCAGTTCCCCTTAATCTGGAAAAAGCACCGGAGTTTGATTTGGAGAATCCAACTGCCTCTACTTTCATTCCACACAGACTTTCCCCAGTCCCCACCTCCAAGTTAAAGAAAGATACAGGCATATGTCTGAGAGGCAGCTAATCAGAGCAACTCATTACCCTAACCACAGAGACTAGGTCAGAAATTAAGAAATGATCCACTCCCGGCTAATGAGATCCTGTAGTAGAACAATAATCCCCCACAGATATCTACATCCTAATTCCCAAATCCTGTGACTACATTACCTTCCACGGCAAAAAGGACTTTGCAGGTGTGATTAAATTAGAAATCCTGACATGAGGAGATTATCTTGGATTATTTGAGAGGACCCCAAATAATCATAAGGGTCCTTAAAAGAGGAAGGCAAGAGTCAGTCGAAGTGGATTAGTTTGGTTCTCCAGAGAAACATACACATACATAAATTATATATATAGACAGAGAAACAAATATATATATATATATATATATATATATATAAACTATATATATATATAGAGAGAGAGAGAGAAAATATGTATAAACTTTATATATAAACTATAAATATAGAGAAAATATATATGAAATATATATATATATATATATATATATATATATATATATATATATATATATATATATATATATATATATATATATATAGTATGAGATTTATTATAAATAATTGGCTTATGTGATTGTGCAGATTAAGTTCTGAGATCTGTAGTTGGCAAGCTGGACACCCAGGAGAGTCCATGAACTAGTTCTAGTCCTAGTCTGAAGTCTTGAGAACCAGCAGAGACATCAGTGTAGGTCCAAAAGCTGTGGGTTTGAGAGCCAAGAAGAGCTGAGGATTCAGTTCAAGTCCAAAGACAGGGAAGTACCGTGTCCAAGCTCAAAACAGTCAGACAGGAGGAGTTCCCTCAAGTTGAAGGGAAAGTCAGGTCTTAACTGGATGAAGGCTCCTCACTTCAGGCAGGACAACCTGCTTTACTCAGTCTATGGACTGAAATGTTAACCTCATCCAAAAACATCCTCACAGATATGCCCAGAATAATGTTTGAGTCAATATCTGGGTACCCTGTGGTCCAGTCAAGCTGACACATAAAATTAAGCATCATGCAGAGAATGTTATAGAGCAAATTAATTGAGGCCATTAATGTAATAAAGGTACTACAGGAGGTAATAGCTTCCCACCACTGCTGGTCTCTGATGGTTTCCCCTTAACCTCTTTTAAAGTCTGTTCAAGCCATCTGAGTTGAATCCTGTTTTCTCTCAGGATTCTGATATACTTGGGGGCTAAATGGATAGTACAATTCAGAAAGAATTCCACGTCCTCTAGATTAAGAGTCATTATCACCAGCATGATATACCACAGGATTCTCTACTACTTAACCTTGATTTATTAAGCTGTGAGATTTTTATTTTCTGACCTTGATCCAAGACGTAAGCAGTAATAGAAATGGATGGAAAACATATGGCAAGGCTGCTGCGTCAAGGTGTTACTTAGATACAACAAACCTGGTCCCTTCTCTAGTCAGATAACCTGGAGAAAATCATGTCATCTCTTTGGGACTTCAGATTCCCAATTTTTTTTTTCCTCCTTTAAAAACAATTTATTAGTTTTATGTGCACAAAACAACATAATGCAGATTCCCATTTCTTAAATCAGAGAATTCAATTAGGGAATCTCCCAGGTCACCTGTAACCAGAGGCAAGACCCTTCTCTGAGATACCTATGGTAAAACTGCTGAAAATGTTGCCAAAACACTCATGCTCTGCTGACACTTTATAAGACAAAGAAGGAATCTCTAGGTAAAGAGCTTAAGATTTTTTTTTTTTATTGGGGGATGAGAACAGTGCTGGGGAATTGGGGAAAGGGGAACAGACAAGTTGCTGTCATTTCATTCCTCAGTCTAGTTGTGGAGGACGTTGCTTCACTGG